TCTAAGTATTTTATTCTTTTTGATATAAAATATCATTGTAAATGAAATTGTTTTTATAATTTCCTTTTCAAATTGTTCAATATTAGTGTGTAGAAATATAAATGATTTTTGTGTGTTGACTTTGTTTCAGCTACTTTGCTAAATTCACTTATTCTAACAGTTTTTTTTGGTGAAATTCCAAGGATTTTCTACATATAACATATCATCTGCAAACAGATAATTTGACTCCTTATTTTCCAATTTGGATGCCTTTTATTTATTTTTTCCTAACTAATTGCTCTGACTGAACTTCCACTACTATGTTGAAAAGTGTTTGTGAAAATGGACTTGCTTGCTCTGTTTCTGATCTTAGAAAGTCTTCCATCTTTCATCATTGAATATGATGTTTATTGTGGGCTTTTCATGCAAGAGCTTTAATGTGTGAGGAAATTTCCTTCTATACCTGTTTGTTTAGTGTTTTTGTCATGACAGGGTGTTGAATTTTATCAGTTGCTTTTCTTTAATTTTGTTAGTGTGGTATCGCAGGATTATTATTTACAAGAAACATGTACCTTGGTTTTTCAACTGACCAAGATATATTTCTTACATATATTTGGGTTTTATCCACAGTTCTTGGCTCATTGCTCCCAAAGCTTTGAAATTTCCTGAATGATAAAGCTATCTCATATATTAATGAAGATATTTTAGAATTGTTTGTTGGTGTGGGGAAGCCGCTACAGACTCAGGTTGGAATTTGTGCCAGAAATCTAAAACAGGCGTAGTAATTGATAGTTTTTTGTATGTTGAAGAACCCTGCATCCCAGTTGATTGCTGTGTATTATCCTTTTAATATGCTGTGACTTTTGCTTGCTGGTATTTTTTGAGGATTTTTTTCATGAGTATTTATAAGGGATATTAGTCTTTAGTTTCTTTTCTTGTAATGTCTTTGTCTTTGGTATTAGGGTAATGCTGGCTTCATAAAATGGGTTAAAAAGTGTTCCCTCCCCTTCACTGTTTTGTTTTTTCTCAACATCAAATAGTCCCTAATTGTTTGCTTATGTTTAAGATGCGGTGATTTAAAGCTGACTTGAAATTATGAGAATGTGAGGGGGGTTTCTTATTATTAGGTTCACTCTAGGGTGATTTTAATTAGGGAACTCTATCATTAACTACTTGAAGCTTTTTCCCCTGGCCTAGTTACATTTTGCAAAGGATGGCCCTCCAGTTTCCTTCCTGGAGGGTGCACCTTGAGGAAAGAAGGCTGGAAAGTCTTACAGTGTTTACTTATTATCTCCTTTTTTAATATTGTACCTTTCCCTTTATTGTTGTTGGTTGCTGTCTCCTACACTAAAAACCTCTGTTTTAAGTCTCTCGAGAACAGATTTTCAGTCTTTATTAGGATTGTAGAGCAGTAGGCACTGTTCCTACTTTAGTCTCCCTCGTTGCTTATCTCTTCATTTCTTCATTGCTAATATTTTCCTACTCCGGGAAGTCTTCCTTGATTGCTATCTTCAATATCACTATCTTCAAGTTTGATAAAGTTCTCTTCTTTTGTGTTTTCATACCTAGCATCTATTATTCCATCGTAATTGTCTGTTTACTTAGGTGTCTTAACCACTTAGGGACTAAATCTTATTTTCTTTGAATACACATTATACATCTCACAATTTAGAACACGTGCTTATTTTATTTATTTTTATTTTTTTTATATAGAGGCATGTTTTATTTATTTGTTTGTTTGTTTGTTTTGTTTATATATGCACTGGGTACAGTCAGAAGTGCGGGAGGGTGAGAGAATTCACCAGAGTCAGAGCGGGGAGCAGAACAGGCAGAAGGACCGAAGTACACTGCTGAGGGGAGCAGCGGGCGGCAGGAGAGGTCTGCACGCCATGTGGGACCCTCCTCTGGTGGCCGGGGAGCAGCCGGGAATCGAACCGGCGCCGCAGACGCCGCGGGCAGCTTCGCAACCCAACGCTCAACCGCTGCACCACTGGGGAGGCCCACGTGCTTATTTTAAAATATAAAGCTTGCAGGAAAATAAAATGTTACTTAAAAAAACCTCTGTAACTTTCTTATGGATCAATGAATTAGTACTGAAATTTATTTAAATGTCCATCAGTAACATGACAACTGAAAAAGGCAAGTTCAGTTATTCCTGTTGAAAAAAATTAAATGAAGTAACTGGCTTAAAAAGGTAAAGCTTGGATACTTTTTGGTGGCTATGAAAACTAGTTGTTACCTCTGTATTAGAATTGCTCAAAAAATACAGTGTCATTTGAGTTCAAGGATAACATGTTAGCTATGTTTAGTAAAATCTGTTCTATATTATTTGGAGAAATATTTCTGAATGAAATGTAAGCTGACTCTTGAATAAGTTCATTAGCTGGAATTGGCTTTACTCCATTTTCAGGAACCTAGGGTACAGTTTGGGAGCCTTTAGCAAACATTTTCAAGTGTTCCCAAATAAAACTTAAGAACACATTATATGCTTTAAAAAAAGAGAGAGATTTTGACATTGCAAACAGTTTGATACAATGGAGAAATTTTTTATTTGGATAGGCAGAATATTCTACAGCTGAATCAGGGGAAAGGCCTTGAATTAATTGTAGGGGAAGTGGTAAGACAACAGTTATATGAGCCTTTCCAGAGGTCAGTTCCATTCTTTATACCCTTTCTAGAGAGAATGGCCATAACCTAATTCATAGCAAGGGTTTAGGGATCCCAAACTTATATACATGCAAAATTGTGTGGAGGATGGATTTTTTTTTCCAGAAAAGAATCCATTTCTTTTCAGATTTCTAATTATGTCTTTACCTAAGAAAGTTTAAGAAATTTGGTTTAGGTGCTTATTGTGCTTGTTTTCTGGTGAGGGACCTGGGGCAAGAAAATGAGGATTAATTATGTGCTTTTAAGACTTTTGACACAACTCGTAATAAGACGTCATTAATGTCATGACCTACATACAAGTGGCAAAAAATTATGAAACAATATTTATCCTTATAAAGTATGGTGCACTCTGAACATATTATATTCTATTTCATTTTTAAAATGTTAGTTGTAGCTCTCTAAATTGATTTCTTTAGTATTCTGTTTGGTGGTAACCCATAGTATGAAAAATACTGGTCTAGGGTATCATAGTTTACAGAATCCTTTCATGTATCCATATATTCCCAGTCCTCACAGTGGTCCCATAAGGAACACTTGACTTTTTTATCTTACAGATGAAGAGGCTCAGAGACCTTAAGTGATTGTTTAAGTTGCACTGTCAATACTTGGCAGAGTTAGGGTGGGTCCTGGGCTTTGACTCCAACTGTTACAGGGCAACCCCAATGTGAAATGGGTTGGCCTGACTGTGGTTCATCACCCGTGCACTTTAAAGGGACTTAGAATGAGACTCAACCGCAGGCACACCCAAAAAGTGTAGTACAGGGTTTATTTACAAAAAGGGGAAATGAAGAAATGAATAACTCAGGGAGAAAGAGAGAGAGATAAATTGGTGAATGCATCTTACCAATTCTACTGAGCTGGAACCCCAATAGCATGCTGAAAGCTGGGGAAAAACCAAGGAGACCCCCAAAGCCCACATGTCTGGTTATATACCAAACCTGGCTGCTTAACTCCACTCTCACTTCCCAGCAGTCCTCCCTTTGGTGGCGATGACATTATGAGATTTGTAGTCCTTGGGGTCTTGGATCTCTTTGGTCTGGGGTAAGGTCCATTCAACCTGTTTGTGGAGTTTATTCAGGACATCCTTCCCCCACAACAGTTACACTACACCTTTGGTTACATCTAATCCAAACTACTTCCTTTTTCCTTCCTCTTCTCACCTCACTTCCTTCCCTATGTTGTGGGAATAGTACTACCTCACACTACATAATTGGGTAAACCCTAATTCCCCCTCCCCTCAACATTCCTACACTGTCTCTAATCCTGCTTGTCACTCAGGATCCTCTCAGAAGTTTTAGATTTCCTGATATGTGTAATATATTCTTTCCTTCTGTTTTCTTCTGCATCCTAGACTCCTTCCTGGAGTTGTGGGTTGCTAGACTGGCACTGTAGCTGTTGACACTCAGCTGCTACTAATCGTTGCAACTCTTCAGGGAATGTTGTCTTCATGGAGCCTTTAACTTTTTAACTTGATTCTCAAGCCTGGCTTTGAGTCAGTGTCAATCAATTGTGGAACTTAATATTCAGGTCTGTGGGCCTCCAGCAGTAATTATGATTCAGCAGATCTTGGGTTGTTTTTAGGCTTTAATGCATTTGAAAAGCTCCACCATTGATTCTTATATCAATGTTGTTTATTTCTACCCTGTTGATCAATGTTGATCATTATTAGTTTTATGGAGGTATAAACCTTTGGAAACATAACCAGAGCTAAATTTCAATTGTAGAGACTCTAGGGGTACTCTTCTCCCCACTGCCTCTTTTTTTTTTTTAATATTTATGTATTTATTTATACAAGCACTGGGTACAGTCAGAAGCGCAGGAGGGTGAGAGAGTTCGCCAGAGCCAGAGCGGGGAAAAGAACAGGCAGACTGACGAAGTACACTGCTGAGGGGAGCAGCAGGTGCGACAGCAGAGGTCTGCGTGCCATGTGGGACCCTCGCCCAGCAGCCAGGGATGAACCGGCGCTGCAGAGGCCACCAGCAGCCTCGCAGCCCAGCGGCCAACTGCTACGCCACCGGGGAGGCCCACCACTGCCTCTTTTTTGATGAGATATTAGAGGTCATGGTATTGGAATGTATTCATCAAAGTGTACAATTGGAAAAGGCACCCTGGGAAATGGTAAACTTGGATTACTGTTTAATACTGTCATGAATAATAAAGTGTTTGACTGTGTAGTGCTTTTTACTTATTGATTTGAGCAAATATTAGTTAAATAATTGAACTTTATATTCAATAGTTAAATAGATTTAACCAGAGAAATACTTTGAGTATTATTAGTTTTGTATTATGCTGAGTAAAACAGAAATTGATACAATTTGGGTTTCTTAAACAATTTCAAATCTCTTTCTTTTTAGTTCTTTTTGGAGGAGGATAGCTGCTCGGACAGTAAGAATTATAAGAGGTTAGTTACAAATAATGCTCTTTGATATTTAACGTGTGATGAAAGCTTTATGTTTGTGTGCTAAAATATTAAACTGTATGCTTTAATGTTAAAAGTTGTCTTCCACAAAAGAATACAGGCAGATTTAGGAGGGGGATAACAACAAGTGAAAACATCTACAGTAGTAATATTTTACCACCTTCTCTTTTTAATTCAGGACTTGATTCACTGGAAATGGGACAGGCTGTGGAATAGCTTCTAGAGTGTCTGGACAGCTACTCAGTAATTTTCCATACATGATTTCTCTTTTCTAGTGGTTTGTAGGCTGGTGTCTGTGAACACCATTCAGTAAAGTTGCTGGTTGATGGAAAGCCTCTTCAGCTGTTGACACTGAACTGCTTTCAGTCTTTGAACCCTTTAGTGCATTCTGCCTTCATGTTCTTAGCTAGGAAAGAAAAATTTAAAGTTGACCTCATGGAGACTTCCAATTTTTAGTCCAGCATCCCCCTTTTATTAATCCTTTCTCTTTCTCCCATGAAATCACAGACTTGCTCCTTAGAAATTTTATTTTTGTGTGTGGTTATCTAATTTTAGTTAGACTATAAGCTGGATTCTTTACCTGTGTGCTTTACTTATTTCTCTTGTGAAGAAGGCAGCTATTATTTCCTGTTAGTTGAGATGGAATTTTTGGGGGCGCTATTATGATTTTTATTATTTTTATTTTATATATTTTTTACATCATTTTTCATTTTTGCACAATGTATGCATTTTCATCTTGGTTATAGTCCCCATACAATTCCCACCCCCCTTGTTTTGATCCTACTCCCTCCTTCCCCCGCTATAGTGTATCTCTGGTTTATAGTTGCTTGTTGATTTTTATTTTTACTTTATTATAATTAGTCTTTTTCCTGGTTCCTTATTTAGGTTTTCTAAATTCCTGCTATGAGTGAGACCATCTGGTATTTTCTTTTTCTTTCTGGCTTATTTTGCTGAGCATGATCCCTTCCAGCTCCATCCATGTGGCTGCAAATTGCATGAGTTTATCTTTTTTGATTGCTGAGTAATATTCCATTGTGTATATATACCACATCATCTTGATCCATTTTTTTGGCATTTGGGTTGTTTCTATAGCTTACCTATTGTAAATAGTGCTGCTATAAACATAGGGGTGTGAGAACCCTTTTTAATTAATGTTTCTGTGTCCTTTGGGTAAATACCTAGGAGTGGAATTTCTGGATCATATGGAAGCTCCATCTTTAGCAGGTTGAGGAATCTCCACACAGCTTTCCATGATGGTTGGACCAGTTTGCACTCCCACCAGCAGTGCAGGAGAGTTCCTTTTTCTCCACATCCTCACCAACATTTGTTGTTGCTAGTTTTTTTAATACGTGCCATTCTCACTGGTGTGAGATGGTATCTCATTGTAGTTTTGAATTGCATTTCCCTGATTACAAGTGATGTTGAACATTTTTTCATATGCCTGTTGGCCATTTGCATTTCCTCTTTGATGAAGTTTCTTTTTAGCTCTTCTACCCATTTTTTGACTGGATTATTTTCTTTGTTTTTTGTTGAGTCTCATTAGCTCTTTGTAGATTTTTGTGATCAGTCCTTTATCAGTAGTGTTGTGTGCAACAATTTTCTCCCAGTTGGTGGGGTTTCTCTTTGTTTTGGTTATTGTCTCTTTTGCTGTGCAGAAGCTCTTTAATTTGATGTAGTCCCAGCTGTTCTATCTTTGCCTTCACTATCACTGCTTTGGGCGATGTGTCTGTAAAGATGTCTTTGAGGTGCATGTCATGTAGTATTATTGTATACCATTTCTTGGAGCACCTCAAAATCAGAATTGGGAATCATCAGCCTCTAAACTGAAATATGCTAAAATATTTTATTTTATTTATTTTATTTTTTTTTTTTAAATAAATTTTATTTTTATATTCCCCCATACAATTGCAAAAGCCCCATTCTGACCCCAATCCTTCCCTTCCCGCCCCCCACCCCCCAAAAAGTGTCTCTGGTTCATAGTTTTTTGTTGATTTTGATTTTCACTTTCTTATATTCATTTTCCTGGTCCCTTATTTAAGTTTTCTAGATTCCTGCTATGAGTGAGACCATCCGGTATTTTTCTTTTTCTTTTTGGCTTATTTCACTGAGCATGATCCCTTCCAGTGCCATCCATGTTGCTGCAAATGCATGTGTTTATCTTTTTTGAATGCTGAGTAATATTCCATGGTATATATGTACCACATCTTCTTGATCCAGTCATCTATTTTTGGGCATTTGGGTTGTTTCCAAAGCTTAGCTATTGTAAACAGTGCTGTTATAAACATAGGGGTGCAGGTGTTCTTTGGAATTGATGTTTCTGTGTCCTTTGGGTAAATACCTAGGAGTGGAATTGCTGGATCATATGGAAGCTCTATGTTTAGTAGGTCCAGAAATCTCCACACAGCTCTCCATAGTGGTTGGACCAGTTTGCACTCCCACCAGCAGTGCAGGAGAGTTCCTTTTTCTCCACACCCTCGCCAACATTTGTTGTTGCTAGTTTTTTTAATATGTGCCATTCTCACTGGTGTGAGATGGTATCTCATGGTAGTTTTGATTTGCATTTCCCTGATGACAAGTGATGTTGAACATTTTTTCATATGTCTGTTGGCCATTTGCATTTCCTCTTCAGAGAAGTTTCTTTTTAGCTCTTCTACCCATTTTTTGACTGGATTATTTTCTTTGTTGTTGCTGAGTCTCATCAGCTCTTTGCAGATTTTTGTGATCAGTCCTTTATCATTAGTGTTGGGTGCAAAAATGTTCTCCCAGTTGGTGGGGTTTCTCTTTGTTTTTGTTATTGTCTCTTTTGCTGTGCAGAAGCTCTTTAATTTGATGTAGTCCCAGCTGTTTATCTTTGCCTTCACTATCACTGCTTTGGGTGATGTGTCTGTAAAGATGTCTTTGATGTGCAAATCCCGTAGTGTTTTGCCTATATTTCCTTCTATGTATTTTATGGTTTCAGGTCTTATGTCTAGTTCTTTAATCCATTTTGAGTTGATTTTTGTGTATGGTGTGAGGTAGTGGTCAAGCTTCATTCTTTTGCATGTAGCGACCCAGTTTTCCCAGCACCATTTATTGAACAAACTTTCTTTGCTCCAATGCATAGTCTTTGCTCCTTTGTCAAAGATTAGTTGACCATAAATCTGTGGGTTTATTTCTGGATTTTCTATTCAATTCCATTGGTCTGTATGTCTGTTCTTGTTCCAATACCATGCAGTTTTGATGATTATGGCTTTGTAGTATAGTTTGAAGTCTGGGAGTGTGATGCCTCCATTTCCTTCTTTTTTTTTCAGGAGAGCTTTGGCTATTCGGGGTTTTTTGTGATTCCATATGAATTTCATCAATAATTGTTCTATTTCTTTGAAGAATGACATTGAAATTTTGATTGGAATAGCATTGAATCTGTATATTGCTTTTGGGAGGATGGCCATTTTAATAATGTTTATTCTTCCAATCCATGAGCAGGGGATGTCTTTCCATTTCTTTGTGTCTTCTTCTATTTCTTTTAACAGTGTTTTATAGTTTTCTTTGTATAGGTCCTTTACCTCTTTTGTTAGATTTATTCCCAAATATTTGATTTTTTTTGTTTCGATAATAAAAGGGATTTTTTTTTTGATTTCTTCTTCTTCAGATTTGTTGTTTGTGTATAGGAAGGCTACTGACTTTTGCGTGTTGATTTTGTATCCTGCCACTTTACTGAATTGATTGATGAGTTGAATTAGTTTTTCTGTGGAGATTTTGGGGTTCTCTATGTATATTATCATATCATCTGCAAATAGTGATAGTTTAACTTCTTCTTTTCCTATTTGGATTCCTTGGATGTCTTTCTCTTGTCTTATTGCTCTGGCTAGGACTTCCAGTATTATATTGAAAAGCAGTGGTGAGAGTGGACATCCTTGTCTTGTTCCAGATCTTAATGGAATTGCTTTCAGCTTTTCACCATTGAGAATGATACTGGCTGTTGGCTTGTCATAGATGGCCTTTATGATGTTGAGGTATGTTCCTTGTATCCCAAGAATTTCAAGGGCTTTTATCATGAAAAGGTGTTGCACTTTGTCGAAAGCTTTCTCAGCATCTATTGATATTATCATATGGTTTTTATATTTCTTTTTGTTGATGTGTTGGATAACGTTGATTGATTTTCGGATGTTAAACCATCCTTGTGTCCCTGGAATGAATCCAACTTGGTCGTGGTGAATTATCTTATGGATACATTGTTGGATTCTGATAGCTAAAATTTTATTGAGGATTTTTGCATCAGTGTTCATTAGGGAGATTGGCCTGTAGTTTTCCTTTTTTGTGTTGTCCTTATTCGGTTTTGGTATTAGTGTAATATTGGCTTCATAGAACGTGTTTGGTATTGTCCATTCCTTCTCAATTTTTTGGAAGAGTTTGTGAAGGATAGGCACTAATTCGTCTCTGAATGTTTGGTAGAATTCATTTGTAAATCCATCAGGTCCTGGGCTTTTGTTTTTGGGGAGGTTTTTGATTACCATTTCAATTTCGCTAATTGTAATTGGTCTGTTTAGGTGTTCTATTTCTTCTTTATCTAGCTTTGGGTGATTGTAGAGTTGTAGGAATTTGTCCATCTCCTCTAGATTGTTGAACTTGTTTCCATATAACTGTTCATAGTAGTTACTGATTATTCTTTTTATTTCTGCTGTGTCCGTTGTGATTTCTCCTCTTTCATTTATGATCCTGTGTATTTGTGCTTTCTCCCTTTTTTCCTTTGTGAGCCTGGCTAGGGGTTTGTCTATTTTATTGATTTTTTCAAAGAACCAGCTCTTGGTTTCATTGATCTTTTGGATTGTTTTTTTAGTTTCAATTTCATTTATTTCTGCTTTGGTTTTTATTATTTCTTTTCTTCTACTGGTTTTGGGGTTTTTTTGTTGTTCTTTTTCTAGATCTTTGAGCTTCGAGATTAGGTTGTTTCTATGAGTTCTTTCTTATTTTTTGATGTGAGCTTCTATTGCTATATATTTTCCTCTTATTACTGCTTTTGCTGCATCCCATACATTTAGGATATTGGTGTCCTCCTTGTCATTCAATTCAAAGAATTTTTTAATTTCTTCTTTGATCTCCTCGTTAGTCCAGTGGTCTTCCATTAGTGTGGTTTTTAATCTCCATGAGGTAGGATAGTTCCTTCCCTTCTTTTTATGGTTTATTTCTAGTTTGATGCCTTCGTGGTCAGAAAAGATGGTTGGTATGATTTCAATCTTGGTGTATCTGTTGATGTTTGTCTTGTGCCCCAGTATGTGATCGATCCTGGAGAATGATCCGTGTGCGCTTGAGAAAAATGTGTACTCCGTTTTTTTGGGGTTTAGTGTTCTATAGATGTCTGTTAAGCCCAAATGCTCTAGGTCCTTATTTAGAGCTTTAGTTTCTTTACTTATTTTTTGTCTTGTTGATCTATCCATTGTTGATAGTGGTGTGTTGAAGTCTCCCACTATGTATGTGTTTTCTCTGATGTCTGTTTTCAGAGAGGACAACAGTTGTCTGATATATTTTGGTGCTCTTTCGTTTGGTGAGTATATGTTAATGAGTGTTATTTCTTCTTGAAGTATTGTCCCCTTGATCATAATGTAGTGACCATTGGGGTCTCTTTTTATTTTTTTGAGTTTGAAGTCTGTTTTATCTGATATAAGTATAGCTGTTCCTGCTTTCTTTTTTGGCCCATTTGCTTGTAGGATTGTTTTCCATCCTTTGACTTTGAGCCTATTTTTATCTTTTGTAGCTAAATGTGTTTCCTGGAGACAGCAAAAGGTTGGGTTTTGTTTCTTAATCCAGGCTGCAACTCTGTGTCTTTTTATTGAAGAGTTTAGTCCATTTACATTTAGAGTTAATATTGATATGTTAGCATCTGTATTTGCCATTGTGTTTGTCTTTCCTTTGATTTTATTTATTTATTCTTTTAATAACTTTTTTTTTTTTTTTTGGTCTTTTTTTCGTTGTTATTTGTCCCTCTGAGGTTCTGGCTTTAGGATTCCTTGTAGTATTTTTTGGAGTGGAGGTTTAGTCGCAATGAAATTCCGGAGTTTCTCTTTGTCTGGGAAGGTCCATATTCTTTCTTCATGGAGGAAAGAGAGCTTTGCGGGATAGAGTATTCTTGGTTGGCATCTGTTTTCTTGGAGTCTGTTGACTATGTCCCTCCACTCTCTCCTTGCCCGTAGTGTTTCTTCAGAGAAGTCTGATGTCAGCCTGATTGGTTTTCCTTTGAATGTTATCTGTTTCTTCCCTCTTGTCAGCTTCATTATTTTTTCCTTGTCCTGGATTCTTGGGAGCTTTACTATTATGTGTCTTGCTGTGTTTTTCCTTTCGTCGTGGAAGTTTGGTGTTCTTCTTGCTTCTTGTTTATCAATTTTCAGCTCCTTCTTCGCATTTGGGAAGTTCTCTTCAATTATCTCCTGGAATATTTTCTCTGTTCCTACATCTCTCTCCTCTCCTTCTGGAATTCCTATAACTCTTATATTTCCTTTCCTCATGGAGTCAGATAGTTCCCGGAGTCTTTCTTCATTCTTTTTCCTTCGTACTTCTCTTTCCTTTTCTGTTTTGGTTCTTTTTATTTCTGTGTCTTCAAGAGTACTTATTCGTTCTTCCATTTCATCTATTCTGCTTTCATTGCTTTTCCCAGAGTTCTTTAGTTCCTCCATTAATTCTTTGATCTCCTGCATTTCTTTTACTTCCCTCTTTAATGACTCAATTTCATTCTTCTGACCATTGTTTTCCCTCTTTAGGGACTCAATTTCCTTCTTCTGATCTATCACTTTTTTAATCATGGCAATTTTAAATTCTCTTTCTGAAAGGCTCAGAAGTTCTTCCAAGTTGCTGTCGTTGCAATCTGGGGAGTGGTTTTCTTTTTGTGGTGTGCTTCTTTCCTGAGGCGTTGTTAGGTTGCGTGTGGTTCTTCTACTCCCTACTGTCTGTTTTCTAATTTGTCGTATGCGTTGGGACACTGTGTTGCTCGGACTGGCTGGCATCTTGGGTGAACTTCTCTGCTCCCCTCTGGCTCCTGCAGGAGCCATCTCTGGCTTCTAGGGGAGCTTTCTGATGGTTTTAGGCAGTTTTTACTTTAGAAATGTCCCTGTTCTATAATGGCGAAGCGGGATGCAGTCCCTGCGCCTCCGGTCTCAGGCACACTCTTCTGTGTGCCCGGTCTGCCCCGGACGTGGGTGCCTGCTTCCTCTGTGGGCTCAGACTGCTGGTCGGAAGGGGCCTGGCGTGGGCTAACTTCCCGGCTGGCCACTGGGTCCTCCAGAAGCCTTCTGCCCTTCTCAAGCAGTCTTAAGAAATTTCCTGTTCTATGGGGTGTTAGTGACTTTTTTTTTCCTGGTCGCTAGGTGGCGCCAGAGATCTCTCCTATTGTCCTTGGGGGGCTGTTTTTCTCCTCCCCCTACCCGGTGGGACAGGGAATAGAGCGGGAATGGTAGGGTAAGCCTCAACAGCTTTGGGGTGCTGTGTCTGCCTTGTGCCCCACCGTCGTGGAGAACCCACGCCCCGAGTTTTCGTGCCCCGGGTCTCAGTTCAAAGCCCTCAGGTCCAGGACGCGGGCTGTAGCCCAGTTCAGTGGCGCGGGAATGGCGCCTTTTGCACCGCTCCCGTGCCTGGGCACCTGGTTCCTGCTCACTCAGGGAGGGACTTTCACCCCCGTGAGGGCCTCTGCGCGTCTCCCCGCAAGCCTAGGTCGCAGGCGCGGGGACCTGGGCAGTGGTGATCCCGGTCCGCGTTTTCTTTTCAAGCGCGCCGCCAAGCGCACCGTTTTTCCGCGCAAGCTTACCGGCAGCCCGGGCTGTGTGCGCGTCTCCCGGGATCTTTGTTCTTCTCTAATGGCGCCCGGAGCCGTTCACTCACCACCGCGGCGGATCCTGCAGGGTTCGCCTCAGCTCCCGTTCACGGGGTGTGGTGGCTGCAATAGTTCCTTTCCACTCCCAGTCCCGCTTGCTGCGTCGTTTGTTCTTGTGGGTCGTTTTAGTTTGTTGTTTTCCTCCTCTCTGCGGTTCGGAGAGTGCCGCCTCTGTGGGCGGGGGAGGGGAGCAGGGTTCTGCGCTTCCCTCCCTTCTAGTCCTCTTTTATGGCAACTTTCTTCTTCGGGCAGTTTGCTGGAGTCACCCGTTTATCTTCCGTGTCCCAGTTCTCACTGGGACCTGCCGCTTTTCCTCCCTATTAACTTTTTTTAATGGGAGATCTTACTCGCAGCGTCTCCTCGCCGCCATGTTGCTCCGCCCCCCAGTATATTCTTTTGCTAAAATATTTTAAATTCTGAACAGGAGGTTTTTTTTTAAATAGGATTTATAGAATGACAGAATAAATATTGTTTCATTTAGTTTTGGGGTTTTTTGTTTCTACTGTTTTTGATTTTTATTGTTATTGTGGACTTTGATCTATGTTTTGGTCTTATTAGGTCACATGTGAGTGCCAGTATCTAATCCTGACTAGTAAGGTCCTATATCTAGAAAACCTGTGTTTAACTGAGATCACACCTCTGTTACTTTAATTGTAGGTTTACATTTGTTAGATTTCATTTTCTCCCAACATCAGTGCCAGCATATTAGAGCCTTTAGAGTAGACTTTTCTTTTTTTATAGAGGCATGTTTCATTTATTTGTTTGTTTGTTTATACATGCACTGGGCACAGTCAGAAGCGTGGGAGGGTGAGAGAATTTACCAGAGCCAGAGTGGGGAGCAGAGCAGGCAGAAGGACCGAAGTACACTGCTGAGGGGAGCAGCGGGCGGCAGGAGAGGTCTGCGCGCCATGTGGGACCCTCCTCTGGTGGCCGGGGAGCAGCTGGGGATCAAACCGGTGCCGCAGAGGCCACGGGCAGCTTCGCAACCCAGCGCTCAACCGCTGCGCCACCGGGGAGGCCCTGGGGTAGATTTTTAAAAAGATGTAATCTAAGAAAAAATTCACAAGTAAAACAAAAAAAATTTTAGTTAAAAAATACCACCTGGAGATTGCTTTAAAGGTATGCACTTATGTAAAGTTCATAGTATACATTCTCACAGTATAGTTTGGAGCCAGATGATAGTTTTGTAGTTTATTCTAAACACCAAGTGCAATCACTAGCAAATTACAAACAACCACCACCCTCCCTAAATCCTTACCCTTCATTCCCTCCGGTACTAATACTGAAATTGCAGTAACAAAACAAGCCACTTTCACCTACTGCAAAGGTTTCTCCCTTAATCATAATTGTCTCTTCAACATCACTAAATTATTGGAGAGATTATGAATGATTATGGTTTTTTTTTGAGAGATTTCTTTGAGGAAAAGGGGAACTGGTTTTAATTTTTATAGGAATAGTTACATTGATAGGGATTTTCTTCCTGTGTCAAAAACAAAGGCCCTGAAATAGAGTAACTAAGGAAATGAGTTCTCAAACCACTTTGCTTCAGGGCCAGCTGAGGTATATTAGGTGTATAGCCTGTGGCTGTCCTCAGGTGCAGGTTATTATCCAATACCTTGCTCCTTTTTCACTTACTCTTTATTCTCTCAATAGCTGTGAGAGTTCATTTTGAAGGAATAATGGGTGAACCATCCCCCTTGGCTAAGCCTCTGGAGCTGAACCAGCACTCCCGATTCATAATTGGCTCTGTGTCTGAAGACAACTCAGAGGATGAGATCAGCAACCTGGTGAAGCTAGACCTACTGGAGGAGAAGGAGGGCTCTCTGTCACCAGCTTCTGTTGGCTCAGATACACTCTCTGACTTGGGGCTCCCTATCCTACCTGATGGCTGCTTGGCCTCACACATGAGGTAAGAGAGACAAGTGTAATGTTTTATTTATTTAACCTGTCCTATTGGCTTCACTGATTTTGTTCTGAAAAGAGCAAGAATAATTTTAGCAAGATTGCTTCGCCTTTTGCTATATCACTGGACTTAAAGCTTTGATAAGAAATAATGTATTTTGCCAGTAGTGCAAGATTTCAAAACGTCTTTTTGTGATACTGTGATTTATAGGAAATACATATATTTTGATCATTCAGGTGACCAAAATATATTTTTTGTACACACAGTTCTTGATTCACAGCTCCCAAAACCTTGGAATTTTCTGTGTAGAGAGTGATATATGTGACTTTTGTTATGTTAATCAAGTGACTTGGAGAAATACTTTAGGATAGTAGCTGGTTGCCAGGGGAACCAACTCGGTGGTCCTTTTGAAGGGGGGGCGAAGGGCGTGAGGTTGAGTTCAATTGCCGAAGGCCAGTGAGTTAATGAGTTATACCTGTGTAATAAAGCCTCCATAGACCCCCAAGAAAAGGGTTTCAGAGAGCGCCTAGCTTGGTGAACACATGGAGATTTGGGGAGTTGGTGAGCCTGGAGAAGACATAGAAGCTCTGTGTCTTTTCCTTGTACTGTATCCTATGCACTTCTTCCATCTGGCTATTCCTGAGTTATATCCTTTGTAATAAGTTGGTGATCTAGTGAGTAAAACAGATTTCCTGAGTTCCGTGTGCCTTTCTAACATTATTAATGCAACCTGAGGAGGGTGTCCTGCTAACCTCTGATTTATAGCTCCATGGGCAGAAGCATAGAATCAATAGAATCAAGCTGGACTTGGGACAGGCACCTGAAGTCGGAGAGGGTTGTCATCGGAACTTCCAGTCTGCAGCCGGTTGGTCAGAAGCACAGGTAGTCTGGGCTTGTGACTCAATCTTGAAGTAGAGGGTGGTCTTGGAGACTGAGCCCTTGTGTGGAATCCAATGCTCTCTCTATTAATAGTGTCAGAATTGAGCTGCATTCTCAGACACCCTGACGGTGTGCAAGAACTACTTGTTTGTTTGGGGAGACCCATTCACACAGTTGTTGGAATTGGATCCAGGAACCCACTTTGCACTTTTCCTGAATATTCCTCTCTGTTTTTCTTGTTCTTCCTACATATGAGGTATTTTAGGGAAGCAGAGTTGAGGAATTTCAGTGTCTGTCCTCCTCTGACTAACATTGTCGTAACTATCTTGGTGATTGATAGGACTTGTGCAGGGGTGGGCAAATTTGTAATAATCTTTCTTTGAACTGCGTCTTGTGAGAAATATATATTTTATTTCTGGCAGCACAAGTCCTCAGTAAAGGACTGTACTAGAATCAAGGGTTTGGTATAGAGCTCTCCTTTTTCTCTAGAAACACATTTCTCTGTTTATTTACTTTGCATTTCTTGCATTGAAGGCTCTGGACTCCTGGTTTTCTCTGTACCTCAGAATCACTTGGAAAGCTTTAAGAAATGAGCCCTGTCCCTACAGATTTCTGATATATTTGCTTGATTTGGAGCTGGCCCCTTTTTTTAAAGCTGGGATCATCTGGATAATGTATAGTCAGGATTAAGATTATAGGTCTAGACTAGATAAACATCAGTTGGGGTGGCTACTGCTTCTGTTATTATCTTCATGCTTCTTTTGTTAATGGGTCATAACATAATTCAGCTCCTTTTTATACACTCAAGTACAAACTCTGTAGTAAAATCTATGCTGGGTCTTACTGAATGTCACTGTCCTCTCTTATGGTTATATTTGTGGCTTTGGGGTCCTCTCTGAAAGAGAATGTCAGCAGTTAACCCATTTGGCTATGTGAAAGTTGAAAGAAAAGAATAAAGCTACTTAATTATGTTTTACTTTAAAGTCAGATGCCTGATTCCATTCCAGTAACTTTCTACTCTACTTTGCTGACCATACAAGTATCTTAATTATGTAACTAGTTCAGATATAGTTGATTTTAAGGAGTTAATAAGCAAAATATTATGTTTCATCTCTGGGTTAAAAAGGGGAATAGAGGGCAGTATTTAGTGGCAGGGAAAAGGAATCAGGTATTCATTTTTATGTAAACATGTTTCTTTATAGTTCATTTACTGCTTGACCTGCTGGCAGGTCCTGGTGGTGGTATATTCCTCTTCAAGGTTATTTGTAAGTGGGAAATGTAAATGTGTGGGGTCAGACTAGGATTTAGAGGACAGAGGACCGATGATGGTAAATTGTCACAGTGCTCCTGTTGAGAAAGACTGGATTAAATTTGAATTTAAACACAACATCTTTAGAAATTTGTACAATTTGAGAGCATGTGAAACTTAATATTCATTCTTTGGATTAGAAAATGGTGAATTTGGCAGTAGTAAGAAAAATACCATTATAGAAAACTTAAGTGGTGATTGCTACAAGGCAGTTTGTCGTCGTCAAGTCATTCTCAAAGTTGGTGGCTCTTATTGCAAAGAATGACTGTGGTGGATGGTGTGAGTGCCCGAGAATTTCTTTGCATGCCTTACTGTTGCAAAACTCATGCCTGGAGCTCGTGAAGAAGTGATGGATTGAAGTGTCATCAGCAGCCTGGGAAGGGACAGTGCCAGGTCCTGCTTGCTTCTCAGCTATCTAATGTTCTAAAATAGGGGAAAGGTTCTCTGTTGATACATTCCTTTTTTTTTTTTTTTTTTTTTGAAGATTTATTTATGCATCCAAGAGCCTGGATACAGGCCAGAGATAAGGAAGGTGAGAGGATTTACCAGAGACAGAGCAGGGAATAGAATAGGCAAACTGACTGAAATACACTGCTGAGGGGAGCAGTGGGCAAGACAGGAGAGGTCTGCTGTGCCAAGTGGGTTGCCCCCTGGCTGGCCGGGGATCCAACTCATGCTGCAGAGGCTGCGAATTGCTTCATAGTGCGGTGCTTAACACCCTTGCGCCACCAGGGAGGCCCCTGTTGATCCATTCTTTTTTTTTTTTTTTTTTAAATATTTATTTATTTATTTATACAAGCACTGGGTACAGTCAGAAGCGCGGGAGGGTGAGAGAATTCACCAGAGCCAGAGCGGGGAGCAGAGCAGGCAGACTGACGAAATACACTGCTGAAGGGAGCAGCGGGCGGCAGGAGAGGTCTGCGCACCATGTGGGACCCTCCTATGGTGGCCGGGGAGCAGCCGGGGATCGAACCGGCGCTGCAGAGGCTGCAGGCAGCTTCGCAACCCAGCGCTCAACCGTTGCGCCACTGGGGAGGCCCTGTTGATCCATTCTTAAGTCACTTGTGGATATGGTGTCCTTGGGGGTAATTCAAATTGAGTCAAATTCGTTTGGTAATAGAATTCTGTTACACATCTGCCACCAATATTGGTTTTAGGTGCTAAATGGAAAGTATGGTGGGTGTGACTTAGGCAGGAATAAGAAATAGATTTTTCTGGTCATGGAGATGACATGAATCTCATATTTTCTAGAGTACCAATGAAATATTGGATGTGTCAGTTTCTAAGTTTTATGAAGCTTGAAATAACAAAAGTTTGGAAATAACACCCTGAAACGGTGGTTATAATTGGTGGGAATATATAAGCCTTATTGTAAACAACTGTGCTTTGACTTTTTGTTTTTATATAACATCAGCTAGGGGGTGATATATTAGCTAAGCTGTTATATTTCTCAATCTAATTATTAATATTTATCAAATATTTGAAAAGAAAGGCCATTAAAGAGTGAATGTTGGCATCTTAAATTTGATAACCAATGTATGATTCGATGGCATATTATAATCAAGCCATTAAGTTGTACGAATACTGACATTTTCTTTGCTCTCAAGTGGGATGCCATTTGAGATCAGATTATTCTGCATTCTTAAAAATGCAGTGGAAGTCCAGATCACCCCACTGTCAACCAAAGATTGTAACCAGTTTTGTCAGCTAGTATGCCGAATTCCTGGTGAAGTTCACTTGGAAACAGGTTAGACCCACAATTGAGTGTTTTAGAGTAGTGTGATTTCTTGAAACCTTTTTTTGAATCCTAATTTTTGTTATGGCATGTGAAATTCCATCGATTTTTCTCTTAAATTTCTTAAAATTTATGCTCAAAATAACAAATGGTCAATGTTTTATGCTTAGGAAACATTTTAGCAATTTCATTTGAGAACAATCTTTAATTGTTGTTGTTTGTTATATATATGATATAAATCTGCATAAGATGTTCACTAGCTGGGTATAGCAATAGTTATTACTGTGGAAGGAGAAAATGGGTAAGGTAACCCAGGAAGGGCTCCTTGGAGATGAGTTAATATCCTTTTGGTCTAGAAAGAAAAGTTCTTTACCAATATCTTAGAAAACTTAGACTTTTATATGAGATTAATGGCACTTTAAGAGTTTGACCCAAATGTTTGAAGCTACTTTGTAATTATTTTATAATTATGAAAGAGCATTTTGGAGCTATTTTGTTATTATTAATAATTTGCAAAGTTTCAGGATGCCAAAGTTTCTTTCATGGAATGCAATCAGGTAATATATGGAGTTTGGGATTAGTTTCTAAATACCACACAGATTTCATTGTCCTAGACTTTTGAAAAACTTATAGAGCCACATAGACCTTCATCCACAGGAAATAATGGTGATTTAAGGTGAGATTCTGAATGAATGGGTGTGTCTTTCAACTTCTAGGTCAAGAACGAAGTTTAGGGGGCAAGAGTAGTGAGAGATAGGGCCGACCCATTGCTACTACACGCTATCCTGGTTTTCACATTATTTGTTAGAAATGACAGTTGTGTTTTCTCAGGACTAATTAGAAAAATAGAGTAATAATGGGATAACATTATTAAATGCTTTACTCTATGCTGGATACTGTGCTGTGCCTCATGTGGAGTACCATACTTAACCTTCATAACAATCCCATGAGGTTAGTAATGTACTATTACCCATAATTTATGAGTGGGGAGCTGAGACACAGGTTAAATAACATGCCAAAGGTCCACAGCTAATTGTGTATTGAATCCATCAGAGCTCATACTCTTGCCACTGCACTAAACTG